GAAGGGTCTTCAGTGTGCATCAGGGACAGCAGACAGGTAAAGAATGATTTAGCGGAAACTTCCGAGACAGTCGATAGGGATTGTGGCTTCACTAGAAGCTAATACGTGAAATGAAAAGAAAGGCAAAGTACGATTCACCAGCCACTGAGTCATCGCTGTCAGCTACAAGAAAAGAGTGGTACATGGCGGAAACAGCTATGGGGCGCTAGGCGTGATTGCTAGTATTCAGGGAATAATAAAGTTTTTAAATTTTATTTACGTGATCACTTCATGGAACACGAGCGAGGAGTATGTGTTATGTTTGTCTGATGACTGGAGTTGTTGTGTTGCGACCATGACTAGAACGAGGGTGACGACAGCCGTGAACGTCGAAGCTAACCTTGGGCGTGGCAAAGAAAATTCGGACTGCCCCACGCACTCTTTAAATCAGCCGAAAGAACGGTCATTCTTGGCTTGTGTTTGGTGGCGTCGCCAAATAAATGGCAGCTGGGACAAATTCAAACCAGAAGCTACAGACAAAGAAAAACTGTGCTCTATATGGATTTCCTGGGCCGGAAAGGCAAAAATGCACAACCCAAGCTCGTGGCAACGCCGAACAACGCCAAACAAACTAAAAGAAACGTTGCTGACATTGGCGAAATATTTCTACCCATTGTTCGGTTATTCGCTCGACGAAGGCAACATCCCTCAGCTTGGAGGGAAGCGACTGTCAGGCTTATTTAAAAACTGATGACCTCCCATAGACCTCGAGCTATAGGCCAATTAGTCTTACTAGCATACAGTGTAAGGTAATGGAACGCATTTTTGAAGGCATTCTAAATCACCCCTGTAACAACCACTTGATATCCCCGGCGAAGTACAGTCTCCCCCAAAAACCATTTTCGCAGGATAAACGTGCTCTTATTTATGGACAGTTCAATCCAGGTCAAAGAAAGATAACGCCTATCGGATTCTATATTTTTGACGTATCAAGAGCATTCTGTTGAATCTTGCACGTCGTGCTCTTCTAAAAGCTCGAGTCTTATGGGATATAAGGAAAAATTTTATGCTTGATTGGGCAGTTCTTATGGGAGAGAACACTCGGAGTCAAAGTGGACTTGACCTACACTTCCCCGGGACCATTCTCCGTTGGAGTCCCGTTGTTGGGCCACTCCTGTGTTCTATCCTCGCCAGAAATCTTCAAGGTGCGTTTTCAGTTCACTGCCTGCTTTTGCGCGTGACTTGAAATCCTGGAGTTCCAAGGCCAGCCCCTCCCCCAAATTAATGTAGACGCAGCAAAGCAGTGGGCACTGAACTGATACCTTCATCCGAGCAACGGAAAGTCATACGCCGCTCTCCGGATGAATCGGCGCACCTTCCTGTCATGTTTATTGCACGTATTCTAAAAGCTTCTTGGGGCCGATGACAGACGGCTCCTTGAATATGCCAGTTCGCCCACTCAGGACGCAAGAAAACGTAGCCCTCACTGATCGCTTCCATTGAGTATCTACACAAGTGATTACTGCCTTCAACACCAACGATTAAGGAATGCCTTTAGGGGTGCTTGACCTATTTCACCATGCAGTACTGTTGCATTTGCGATAAAACGACGTTTAAAGGTGATATATTTACCCACTGCATGCACAATCACCACAGATCTACGGATGAAGATTTAGTAAAACAAATACCATCGAAAACAAAATGAATCACAGTTGTTCTGCTTAAGCATACATCAAGAGAAATGAAAAATGTAACCACGAAATTGTTGGTCCTAGGCACAGCTTTTTCGGAGAAAGCTGCGTCTATTCGATAATGGCTGGCCAGAAACAATGGATGAAATCAATCAATATTAAACACACGCCTCGGCCAGCATAAAATAAAATCCCGGAAGACAAGATCTGGTACGACGCAGTGCAAGGCCAGCGCTGAACTACAACTGTGGATGTTATGGAGTTGGTGAATTACGCGATTGGCTGGTTTCCAAGTGTCCAGGTTTCCATCCACAGGTTAACCAATCTTTCATCTGGCCGGCCCCTAATAATGAACAGACTACACACATAATTGGGCATGAATACAAACGAGTAAAACAACCCTGGTGCCACCAACTAGGAGCAGGAAAGGGAGGACGGCCAGCAGTTAAGCTAAACGCCTTTATGGTAGACTGTTGCGAGGTGGACTCATCCCGAGTGGACCAAATAAATAAAAATCGCAGCTGACTTGTGATGACCTTCGGGACTAATCAACGGTGTATTCGCGATCACAATTTTTGCAAGCTAGTTGGGATTGCCCGAAAGCTTGCGTCAGGTCATTTCGTCATTGACACGGGACTTGCCGCACGTGCCTCATTGGAAATTGAATGGCTCACTCCACTTGCTAAAAATTGACCATGGACAAGCCATTCTGGATATGGATGATACATGTGCTCTCATTACACTATTTGAAGAGGGGCGCAGCATACTGCCCGAAATTTCGTCACATTCTTCACACACGACCATTCCAATCGGAGGGGCTGGTTTTCCACTTTTGTGAAGAAAGGACCCTGCAGCCCAACTGTTGATGGCATGTGGTTTCGAAATTCCATTGAGCGACCCTCCTTTCGGAATAAGAGTCCCCGGAAGCCCCTCGTGGGCTCCGTGTTTTCGTACAACGTTGCCATATCTAGAGCTCATATACCCGAATCCTGCCGGAGAGGATGGAACCCAATTTTCAGCACCAAATGAGAAGATCTGAAGCATGTCGCATCTAACTCGGAGTTGACTACTTGCAACGTTGCCGAAGTGTTTGGCGTAAATTTGTTCCCTTCGATATGACACACGCTTTAGAGCGTCTCAACCAACCCGAAACCGCTTTGCCACTGCAACCAATGGCCAGTTCTCGCCCTTCAAACAGCCACAACCCATGGAGTTGCGGTTTCGAAGTTTCCCATCGGAAGTGCGCTAGTCAGCCGGACGGGGAGTTTTCTTTGGAGATATAGGAACAACCCGTAGCGCTTCTCGCAGTCTTTAGGTGCAATATCGATAGCTTTTTCCGAAGCTGAAATTTCAACCTTATAATTTGTCCCTGCCAACCCTCATGTGCAGGGTCCCCGTTCACCACAGTACTACTAACACGACTTAACCAAAAAGGTTACAGTTAAGTATGGAAGTATGCGCAGTTCTTTGTAACTGAAAAACACATTCCCCAGCTATATCTCATCTACGACCATACCTTCGCAAATGGTGCAGATCGGCGGTGCCTATGAAAGACTCAGAGGGTACAAATCACTCTGAGGTGCATTATCCTTTTCAGCTACTTTCATGGACTCAGTGTGAGCACAGAGTCCACGACCGAGCAAACAAGGCTCTGGGAACCTTGTTGAATGCCAACCGACCGAGAAGGCTGTACACTGTCAGACCACGGTTCGGTTATCGACTTCCTGCCCACCAAAACCAACTAGTGGGGCCCTATCCCATTTCTTGTTTACAGCTTCCACGATATACATTTCATTGGGGATAGCATAAAGCTCGAGTATGCGAGCCGCTCCCACTCACTGAGGAGCCCACTGAAACTAATATTATGATACCACATTTGAACTGGCATTTCCAGCGCGAATTTGTAATCCCGTCTGGCCTGATCACATCATCGTTGGTGAGTATGGTGCTCGACAATTTTTCACCACTCTGATTGGCTGACCCCAACAGCGCGTCTTTTAAATGTTGGCAAATTATGGGCGTTATGTATTCGCACAACGGAACTGAATTTTCGAAATTTACGGCGTGTCCCTGATGGACAAGAGCAAACAGGCAATTGTGTTTATAGTACTAGTCGAAATGTTTGAGCTCCATCGAAGAATCGCGGGATCTCAGCGATGCTGAGAGAGTATTCCACAGGGATTTCCGCCAGAGGTCTTTGGTTCACTGGACAATGAAATTTGTTGACCTGCAAAAACGAGGGGAGGAGATAGATTAAAATGGTTTTCGGCTTGAGCACATATTCAACAAAATGCTACATCTTGGCACAAATGTTTAATTCCATCGGGAAAGTTTTGCAGCTAAGAGTATTGTGCTGCTAATGCGCCCCCAAAGTATGCACAAAATTTCGACCGATTAAATAATCATTGACTTTCGTCAATGAAATTGGTCTAAAAATAGTTAAAATCGACTGTAGGACATACTTACTTATTGTGAAACGCCGATTCTCGGTTATATCTGGGCAGTTGATAAATTCTCACGACGCGCGAAATAAGGCCAATTTGAGGTTGAATAAATACGCTTGGTGATTGGTTTACAAAAAGAATGTTAAAAGGCCACTTGAAAAAATAAAACTATAATTATCAACTAAGCTGCATGCGGAAGGACGTCGAAAATTGCTGTTTTGTTCGTCACCCAATGAGCATCGTGTAGGCCCCAAAGATCTGACCTACCACGCGTGTTTACATGGCCGCGGACTACTGCCGGTTTGCAGTTAAAGTTGTCATACACGACTGGACGGGCGGATGCCGAATAAGCTTCCGCGCTAGCGAACTCACGAGATTCAACCATGTATCGCAAAAATGAAAAATATAAAGGTTGTGGTAATAGTGATACACTTCAAAGTTTCCTCTTTCCACACTGTAAACCCTTTGCCAAGACGGTATCCCCATTTTATTCTGCCTCAGCAATGATAACGTTAGGGTTGCTGGCGATGTTCTCCTGTCCGACTATGCCTTGAGGTAGTCGGTCCAGTGTTCTGGAACCCAAATTTGATATCGGAGCACACTTACTCCTCCACAACTGCTATGTTGTGTGACATTGTAGTGAAGTGACTGGCTGATAATTTTCAGTGGAACTCAAGACCCACGCCAATGTCGCAAGGGCTTCGCAGGTATCCGCTTCTTCTACCAGGCAGCCTCATCCCATCAATAAAAAATGTGCTAATTGACCCATCTAACAGCTTACAGACTGTCATTGCCAGAGTGTCGCAACTTAAACGATTGCCTAATCCCAGTATACCGCAAGTGTGAACGACGTTCGGCGATTTTGTTGGAGTTAGCTAAGGGTTCTTCAGCTAGAATGATTATGGGAGATACTTCGGCCGGCGGTCGAACGGGTTTTCAACGCTGGGCGACCTGGTATCAGCATGATGTCGACCTTCAAGCTGGGTGGACGATCCGAGGCTGGCCATTCAGGAGATGAGGAAGCATGTTTCAGGAAATTGCGCTTTCGTTTGCGAGCTTTCTCCATGGCTAGACTCAGTAGATTGGCTTCGTACACCAAAGAGGTGGCGGGCCGGTCTTCGCGTGCTGTTCATTCAAGTAGCATAACGGAAGCCGATCGTCTGTTTGTCATAAAATCAGAATCAGAGTGGTAATTAAGTTACTACTGAAAATGTACACAGTCTTTGGAACAACGTATATGATTTACGATTGCATGAAGATAAATACTGCCCACACCTTACTACTTTCACTGACACGGCTATTCTCAGCGACATTCGTTTCCCCATTGAGCCCCCCCCCCCAAGGTCGGTTGTCCCCGTACGTCGCAATGGCGGCACGAAATCATGTAGTGTGAGAGTGGTCTACAGATCTCCAATGTCTTCTGTTGGTGGTCCACTTCAGCTGGTTAGACAATACGAAAGGAAGAAAGGTTGCCTTGTTAGGGAATTCAATCCGCCGGGAATTAAATGGGGCCTTCTTTGTTGCTGCGTTCCATATTTATGTGAGATGCTTGGTACCATCCTGGAATACAGCGTGACCCAATACATGTTTTCCCCTACTCGTATAATACCCGGTTGATTCCACACAGTGAACCTTGTCCTTCCCACCTCATTTGTGGTCTCCACTGCGTACAGCCGCTCGAAGCGGGGAACTGAGGTATCCCCTAACATAATGCCTTCGAGGATGCACGGGACCTCTTGGTGGCGAAGTGGCTCAATGGTTAGATGGCGAATTTACTGGCCGGAAGTTTCGTAGTTCGAACCTGACCTCTGACTTTCGATTTCCTTTGTCTAGGCTTGGGCAACATTGCAGTATCCTGGCCCTCGTGCGTGATTCGGGTGGCGTAGTAGTTAGGCAACAAAATGGTGCTACAACTGAACGATTTTTTACGGGTCCTCTTCTGCTCAACAGACGCCAGTCTTTTTGAAGCTAATCCCCCCCGCATGAGGTACCGACTCTCCGGAGGGTGGTACTGTCTTGATTAGGAAGTATGGTCACTGCTGGGAAAGAAAATTATTCGGCTGCTGCTGCTATGAAGCCCTAAGAAAGCATTATGGCTAGGATGTTGGTGTGTCGCCCAAATCTGAACGGAAGCAACCAAAATCCCAGGGTTAGTTTGGGACCATGTTTATTAGCTTCGCGTCCTCAGCAATGAGCCAAGAAAGGGACAAGTGCTTTAACCACGTCAAACCCGCCCCAATACCCACAGATGGTGGTGGGCACAACGTCTTCGCAATTTCTGTGCAACATTTAGGAGATATAACCCTCGAGTTTTAGGCTGCATCTTACCGAAAGCCCTAACCATATTGTAAGAGACTATTTTCTTACTTAAGGAAAAGCTCAAAAAGCTTAGTCCAGAATCCTTAGGTTTCTCTAATCTCTCAAGTGGGACTTCATGATAACGATGGCAGAGCTGAATTGTTATCCCCTCTAGACTCGACAGCGTATACCACAGAGACCAATATAGTTGAATCTCTGTTACTGTACAATCGCCTCTCCTCAAGACCTTGACATTTATTGGAGTTACTGTTCTAAGATTTTCCCCCGTTTAGCTCTATCGCATTCTCTTTTCGGCTTAGCAGCTTGGCGTCCGCTGAGCACTTGTCGGTTCCATGGTCGAAGATTTGTACAACTTCGTCTGATGGTTGTACCAACTCTGCAGACGATAGTAACTCACCATCTTTCCTGTCTAGGCTTGGACAAACTGACAGTACTCAGCCCTCAGTTAAATGTTACACTTGGATGATTATTCTTCATTATTTGAGTATCGCACCGCAAAATCTAGTCAAATTTTGTCCAGAAGCATCTCACAGCATATGCTTCACGTGACGCAATTCGTATCTGTATGCATCGGATGCATGGGAAGATTAGTACATGGTGAGGGTTGGCAACTCTCCACACATGTACAGGTATGCACACACTCCGTTTCCGATTCTAATCACTAACATCCACCGTTGGTGAGATTGCTGTTTGCACCATTTCCCTGTCATTTGGATGGGTCGCATATATTAAGAAAGCATTCAAACTCACACTATAGTGTAAGTGGATAGTAAACATAACGCAAGAATGATTGATAATTTTATCAGTCAGTCAACTGTACCGGCTATGGGGCGCGTGGTATCCTGGGAGTTTGTACTACTGACGATTTTCCCTCAACAGCAATGCTGATAACTAGCGCAGCCTCTCTAATGTCAACGTCAGTTAACTGACGTGAACTTCCGGGGGCGTTCCTTGGTGGACAAGCTTGTCAAGAATAACAGATCAACCGAGTCGAATGCGCCTTGGAAATCCGGGAATACTAGAATTGTGGGTCGCTTATACGTATGGCGTTGTTCTAGCACCTGACGAAGTGTGAAGATTTAGTCAACGCAACCCCTACCAGACCGGAATCCAACTTGATACTCTGGGGTCAAGCTGATCCCCCTGTGGTTACCACACTCATTACGAGCCCCTTTTCTTTGAAAATGGGCACTATCACCGACTCTCCCCAGTTGTCCGGGACAAACTCCTTTTTCCAAATGCAAGCAAACAGATCAGACAGGCGTTGACTGAGGACTTCATCACCATCTTTCAACAATGCGGGCGGGATGTCATCTGGACCAAAAGCTCGGCGGCGCTTGAGAGAACATTTGCAGTCGTAAACCTTCAAGGCCGTAGGGGGTTCCACGTTCACGTCCCCAGGGCTCTATTTCACCTATGGGCTCCAGATGAGTGTCAGCTGATGGGCATGAAAGTTGTTCAAAGTACTCGGCCCACCGGTCGAAGAGTTCTTTATTCAGGATGGTCGTTCCATTCTGATGCCTGATGGTTTTGCCCACAAGTGGTTTCCGGGGACCGGTAGCACGCATCAACTGGACTAATCTTCGGGCATTGCCGGCTTTCTGGGCTTCTTCCATTTCTTTGGCTTTCTGTGTCCACCATATTACACGGTCGGCTCGCACGCTCACTTTCACTTGACGTCTGATAACTCGTCGCACCGGGTTATGTTCGGGACCGGTTGGGATATTTCTCCGAGATTTGAGCATTGCCACCGTTCGGTTTGGTATCCAATGTTTGAGTGAGCCTGGTGGTGCCGTGCCACAGGCGAAATTCCCAGCACCATGCAAAGAGGTGGCAATCTCGTCCCATAATGCGTTCACATCTGACGGTGGGACATTCGGAAGAGACGGTTCTGGTAAATTCGTCTGACATCCGGGTCTTCCAGTCTCCCAGCTGCCAAGCAATTTGTCCGCACCTTACGCGACCCAGAGAAACGAAGGGATATGCAACTCCGGATGGCTACGTGGTCCACAAATGTGTTCCAAAACGACCGGCACTTAGTTATTGATCCGCGCCATTGGTAGTTAATGGTAGCGGGCAGCTTAGCACTCTCCCAGTCCTCGTACTTCCCTCAGGTGGCCTGGTGACTGGGAACCTAATCGCTGATGTTTCTAAATCACGATCAGCAACATAAATGGGACAATCATAGCTTAATGTTGAGATTTGTGTACGAGTGGCACCTCCAATGTCTCAAGGTTTCTATTCGAGCATGCGCTTTAAGCTTTTGCACAGCCCTGTGCCAACTGAAAGCAGCAAGAGTTTCCTAAACGTAACCATCAAAAGAGCCCACTGGACTTTGGTTTGATCTCACTTGTCGTCTCTATCGGATCTTGTGTTCGTCCAAGCTCACTTCTCTAGCCGTAGCAAGTCGAAGCGCAACCACAATTCACCTGGGTTCCATCGTTGTCGGTGAACGCCATGTTCCTGTCTATCGACTGTACTAATTACCGGTTGAGGTTTCAGGTTATAGTGGTTTGGGAAACCCACGTATGACGAAGCGACGCTTGCTGCATCGCAATGAAGTTATTGAGTTTATCTAACATTTTATGGTAGACCTGGTTGCCAGCCCCACCTTCCGTCGATTTCGCCGCCGTTGCCAGTTTAGTCCATGTGCAACAAGTGCCAGTACATAATTAACGTTGTCGAGCTACGATGAGGGAGTGGGCTTTGAGACGGTCGTCACCATAATGTTCTTTTAAGAGAACATCCTCCACTCGGACAACTGTTACTTTTCCACGTTCATCGAATTCTCGAGCGTGAGTAACTGATAAATCTGCCTTCTGACAAGGTATGATTGTGATGTGTCGCTTCGGAGACTGTCTTGGAACCTAAGGGTCTCCCCTTTCGAAATGCAATTTTAGCAGGTCTGTCCGAATTACAGTCGTCTCTGTGGAAACCGATTTTAGCGAGAGAAATTCTCGGAGGCCCTTGTACCTTCGTCCTCAACACTGCTGGTTCAGTATTTACGGCACCTTCATCTGTACAATCGCGTCGAAAGCTGAGTCTGGTTGTTAGTTTGTGTTACGTATATTCAGTCAGTTGATATCAGGTCAATCACGGCTGTCGCGAAAGACTGAGTAAACAGTACTTCTGTATTATACTCAGCTTAATATTTACTCGGTAGTCGGGAATCTCCATATTTTGTTCTGGTCACCTAATAACCCTGAGTAATATTTCCGTGTTATTGTTTTCCCACTTATTTAGTATTCTGCAATGGATATTCCACCAGCAATAAGTGCATATCTTGATGGTAAGATCAATGGAACTCCAGAATTCCAAGCCGAATGGACGGAAATCAAGGATTTTTACGCTAGAAAGTGAGTTTATTTTCCGATTGTCTGATTGCTTGGATTGTTTCCACTGTCAGCGTTCGCCACGTACTTGCTGTCTAACTACGCTCCCAAGTAATGGTTTAACCAGCCTTTATGACGGCCATCGTCGGCCACTGTATCTGAATACATAGGTGATGGAGTCGTTAGGGTCTCGTGTTACATAAACTAGAGGTATGTGGCATTTGCGGTGGTCTACCTTTGTGCGTGAATCTTTTTGTTCAAAACAGGATCAAACAGATGAAAAATGAAAATGATAGTATATCATTCAGCTCTGGCACCCATTCCGTGCGCAGCTGGCGCCTTAACCAGTGAGCTATCCCGAACTAAATGGTATTGGACAAGTTGTAGGAAGTGGCTTCGGTTGATAAAAGTTGGGTCCCTCAAGGCATAGTCATTGAAGATCGTCCGGAGGAGCCCACAACAGAGCGAAACCGCTATTGGGCTGTCGAACGTTTTTCACCAACTGCATAGCTAGTACCGCACCAAGGAAAATTTGGTGAACGTTTTGAAAGGAGTCCTCTAATTTACTACTTAAAGCCTGGTTTAAGAGGTGGGAATGATAAAACTGGAAGATGTAATCGGTATCAAGGCCTTTTTTGCTCACTCAGAGACTTAGATCCACTTGGACAGCTGGATAAATTTCGGTTCATCGGCAACACACGTATCTGTACGTGACGTCACTTCGCGTCCAGTCAGTTTCTGCTGATCGTGTGCATAGCGGTGCTCCGTATTAACCTTAACTCCTAACCACAAGAACCCAATCAAAAGCGGTAACTGTTTGGAGAAAAATAAACGAAGGAAAACTACAGTCCTTCCCCTGGAACTTGAACTGGCCTCGTATAGGATTCATGCCGAAATACTATCTCCTCGTGATACTTCTTTGATATCCACCCTTGAGATAAATGACCGAATTCAACAATCGGCGACTCGCGCGGCCAATGAATGCAGTAGACCTAGGCCGCAGTTGACATCTGCTTTTGTCAAAGTTATCATTGCAGAATTCATCCCAGATAGTGCGTAGGGAGGTTCATCTCTCCAAAGCACCACACATGTAGTGCATCACCATCATCAGCACTGGTAACATTACCAGAAGAGAGCACTCGTGCTTCACTGTTGTACAACTCATCAATTTGAGTGGGTAAAAAAATCCTGGAAAAAAACGATTAGAGATGGCTCAAGTGATTAGAGCCTAAATTTACTGGCCAGAAGCTCCGTGGTTCGAACCGGACCTCTGCCTCTCGACCAAGTTTGGGAAACCTGGCAGTATCACAGCCCTCGTGCTTCTTTCGGGTGGCGTGGCAGCTAGGCATCGGAAGGGTGTTACAGCTGAACGAAAAAATTGTTCGAATAAAGGTTTCTAATAGAAAGAAGGAAAAACGGGGAAAGAAGTGGATCCCAGGACTAACCTACCACAAACATCCTAGTCACCCAAAACTCCAACACTTAATCAGACAACTTGGATAGAAACTGTTAGCATGGACGCCACCTGTATCGGTTGGCCGGTATATCGCTTTTCTGCAGCCAATCACAGGAAGGGTCACATGGGTTCCAACCAAGAAGGCGAACAACTGTACCTAAACTCTTCGTAACATCCCTCATTACCTCCTGCAGTGTCATATTTTGTGCACCTCTAAGTTTCCACTGCTTCGAATTATGTATGGGGAACATAGGCAGACGGAAACTCAGCATGAGTCGCACACAACCAAGTCACCTTAGTTTAGTATGCTGGATGCATTTCTCGGGTGAATTACCTTCTGTTTCGCGAAGCATCATCATCATCGACAGCATGACTTTAGTGTTCAACACCGATGCTTCACTGCCGTACAACCGAAGCACCTGTTTCCTGATAATCTAACGCCGAGTTTGCTGGTTTCAGCTGGTTCCAGCTATAGTTCTGGGCGTCAGTGATCAACGACCTGAAGAGGTCTCATTATCTTCCATCCGAGGTGGTCAAGTCTCGTATGCATACAACGATACAGACCGTACTATTCTCTGGTACATGCGTCCTTTGAAACCTAATGATATTCTTTTTTGATTCAACAAGTAGCGTTAAATGGAAAGCTATTCCGAACTCAGATCTGTGCGTTGATTTCGCTTGTCTGTCCATTCGTCTGCTTTCTCTTTCCAGTTTGTTGTTAATGCCATCATCAAATGCATGTTCCAAAGAAATTTGATCTGAAGTTTGGGATATCATGTAAAGAGGAATTAACCGGTTGGATTATGGGATTGAACTTGACATTTTACAGTCCAGTCGGCTAGATGGGTTTTCTCGATCTGTCCTTTTTAGCATGTGGTTCGTGCCTTCACAACTCGACTTTCTACTGCAAGACGTGTGTAGTGTGATCGGATTCCTAGAAATTTAACCACACTCACTCACTCGTCCCAATTAGGTGTAGATACTATTTTCCGTTTTCATGTAATTAACAAATGTGGGGGGCGAAATGTCCCAAGTGGTGAGAGCGCGAATTTACTGACCGGAAGTCCGNGTTCGAATCCATCTGTGCCTCTCGACTTCTGTCTAGGGCTTGGGCAACCTGGCAGTATCCCAGCCCTCGTGCAACCTTCGAGTTGCATGGCAGATTTACCTATGTGGAGCACATCAGCGTTTGAATCAAACATCAGTTTTACTCGAGGGATTCCCAATTTGGAGCACATCAGCGTTTGAAGTCTGAAATCAAACATCAGTTTTACTCGAGGGATTCTATTGACCGGCATACCTGCTCTAGTGAGACAAAGTTGTAGCGGTGATACAAAGATGATCGGTAATAATTACCATAACTTGCTGACCGTGTGAGCCGCGTGCTGTGAACACCAGGTAAAACGAATTTACAACTAATATTGCAGGGATCCAAACATCCCTTACTCTCTCACAATCCCAAAATCCCCCTAGTGGAGTGGTTCTTCACCGAATGAAAATCACTAAGTTGGCGTTCTAGTGCTATGGACCGTAAGACCAAACCCATCATGGGCACCCGACCGCCTTTACTGCAGCTGGCTGGGCAATTATCAGATTCTCCACGAAGGTCGATGGCTCCTCGAACAAGGCAATCTGAATATNGTTCGAATCCAATCTGTGCCTCTCGACTTCTCCTGTCTAGGCTCGGGCAACCTGGCAGTATCCCAGCCCTCATGCAACCTTCGGGTGGCATGGCAGATCTACCAATTTGGAGCACATCAGCGTTTGAAGTCTGAAATCAAACATCAGTTTTACTCGAGGGATTCTATTGACCGGCATACCTGCTCTAGTGAGGCAAAGTTGTAGCGGTGATACAAAGATGATCGGTAATAATTACCACAACTTGGGGACCGGATGATCCGCGTGCTGTGAACACCAGGTAAAACGAATTTACAACTACTATTGCAGGAATCCAAACATCCCTTACTCTCTCACAATCCCAAAATCCCCCTAGTGGAGTGGTTCTTCACCGAATGAAAATCACTAAGTTGGCGTTCTAGTGCTATGGACCGTAAGACCAAACCCATCATGGGCACCCGACCGCCTTTACTGCAGCTGGCGGGGCAATTATCAGATTCTCCACGAAGGTCGATGGCTCCTCGAACAAGACATGGATAATTATCAGGTCCTTCATGAGGGTCGATGGCTCCTCAAAAAAGACAATCTGAATACGCCTGAGTGTTTGGGTTGATTAAGTACTTCAACAGCTGGCTAGCATGTGAACCAAATGTACAAATCAAGTTCACCTCCGTAAACCGGTCAACAGGCACTTGCTCACTTGACCACAGAACTAATTATCGAGGGTTTGCGCGACCGCTTTCTTCACATTTACTCGGCAAATCCAAATAAGAATTGAGGGTTTCATGCAGCCACGTTTTCGAGATCCGACCACATCCTGCCGTAGGGTTTTGCATTAAGGCAAGGAACTTGAATTCTTGATTTGGTTTACTCATGTGCTAGTTGCATGAGTGGTGACTGTGCTGTGGAATACAAGGTCGATGCACACATTGCCTAAAAGGAATTTCGTTCAGGCTAATGGGGCAGTAAAAATGGCTCAGATCTATTATTTGAGACAGCTGTCCTGATTCGAGAACCTTGAATTTTCAGTTACCAATTTTAGAATATTTCAGCAATGGTCCGACATTAGACTCACTACGTGAAGTTTTAGTGTACATTGAGTGTCGAATTTCCTTCGAATAGTCAGTGTGTTTGAGAGATGTGCTACGCACACTTGACCAACGCCTGTTGATGTAATTCTTTTCGTTCCAAACGGTGCTCATTCGTTATTTTGACCTTCGCCTCCAAGGCTTGGTTGTATGTTCCACTTCCCCGTTTTCCGGTGATCGAAACTGTAGCGGCTAGGACCAATGTGCCCATGGCACACGGTTTATAGCTGATAAATTGGTTGATCGATTGGGGTATTTTGTGCTTGTATACATCTTGTTATTCATCCTTTCTCTGATCACACTCGCATGAAGCCTCCACCTTGTCATTATCTCACTATTTATTGGGGTAATCGCTTTGTCACGATATGGTATTTAGGCCCCAGTCTAACACTACTTAGACCAGTCTGCATCAGACTGATCTGAGATCTATTGTTACCCCGATTGGTTTGGAATCCTGGGTGGTCTCTTCCGTTAGTCAGGCATGTGTTCTCCAGGCAGAATCTATCTCGAATCCTAATGTCCCTAGCCACATGTATTTATGCACTTGGTATACTAATGATTGGAAATTGTTTCATTGCACTTTCCAACACGTTCCAGACTTTGGCATCAACTTACAACGAAACTTCAAGCTTGTCTCAGCCTTCCCAACTTCAAAGCGCAGACGAATTTGATCGAGGTTAGTATTCATTACCAATGTCCTCATAGGCGACCTTGCTGTTCGTTTTGTAGCTCAACGAAGTATTTCTGAATGATTTCAAGAACAAGTACGTTTTTCTTATTTTGAGCGGAACAGACTATAATCTTGTTGCTTCCAGAATCAATCCTCTTGCACTGGCAGAATTGTGCGTCCCAATCAGTGAGCAGCTTGTCGCGAATGGTAAGATTCAGTTTTCTTTCCAGTTCTCTATATTTTGCAGACCCCCAAAAGGGTATCCAGTTCATGGAAGAAATCCGTGACAAGGTATGTGCTACTAGCAAATTGAGTTGGATTTCACTTTTTTCCGGAAAGCAGGCTTTACCATTTTAGGCAACCAGTACGGTCTCGGGTCGTCTAATTTGCTGAGACAAACTGCATCGCGCACGTTGTCCGAAAGTATTTCTCTAGGGGGCGAGATGGCCCGAGTGGTTAGAGTGCGAATTTAATGACCTGAAGGTCCGTGGTTCGAACCCCACCTCTGCATCTCGACTTCCTCTGTTTAGGCTTAGGCAACCTGATGACATTTCATCCCTCGTGCTTCCTTCGGGTGGCATGGAGGCCAGACAGCGGAAGGGTGCCACAGCTGAACGCCTTTTTTAATTCGCTTGTCGAGTGAATTTGATGCAGGAGTAATTGTTCGCTTGTCGAGTGAATTTGATGCAGGAGCTCGAGTTGATCCTGTTAGCAATCTGTTTGCTGAGCTCCAGTTTGCTCATCTGCTAATCAGTTTTCGCTTTCTGCTCTCTTTGCAGCATACACAGAAGTCGAAGGAGGCTGTCATCTTGTGCAACACCACAATCGGAATGATCTATTTGACCACACTGAATGACTTGGCTAACGCACGACAAGTGATCGAAACAACCGGGGCCCAGTTGGAACAACTCGGGGGCGTAACCTGTGTGCACTCACGGTTCTATCAGCTTAGTTCCCGTTACTACCAGGTAAAAAACGACGTTTGTTCTTTGTGAACACTCGCTGTGAGCACGTGATACTTCACGAGTTTCTTCATGGTGTGCATGTTGTTTTCCTATTTCGAGATATGACACCAAAACCATGAGTATCTGGATCTACGATTCCGGGTATTTTTTCTTCAAACATTCTTCTATTCTAGTCTCTCGTTTCAAGGCGATTGTTCTGGTTAGTTGGCACCAAAGGGTGAAGCACTATAATTCTAACCTTTGTGCTCATCAGCAGTGTCAGGAGTTTAAATTAGGCACGCAAACCGAACGTATTCGTATTATTCCACAAGCACATGATGGACTCAACTAAACAGAAGGACAGGTTCATGCTTAAGCGATGTATGCAGGGAGCCGATGGGTCTCCAACAAAGGTCATAGCTGTATTGAACGGTTGATTGGCCTGTCAGAATTTCCTGATCAGGTGACGCTAGTTTCAATCCCAGCATGGCCAAGTATATACACTACTTATAAACACTGGGGCGAGATGGTCCAAGTGGTTAGAGCGCGAATTTACTGACCGGAAGGTCTGTGGTTCGAACCCGGCCTCTGCCTCTCGACTTCCCCTGTCTAGGATTGGGCAACCTGTCAGTACCCGAGCCCTCGTGCATCCATCGGGTAGCATGGCAGCTGGGTGCTACAGCTGAACTACTCTGACTTATGAACTCTAGTAAGAGCGAAACGAAAGTCCAGTGTTCTCAGTAAGACACGAGCTAATCGGAATAGTCATTCCAGAGCAGGAGGGATGACCGTTCAGACCCGGGTGATGTGGGAACAGCTACGGCTACCACAGTTATTCGCGGGTAATTTGGTGATATTAGGGTGAGACATGTTTTGAATTTCCATGAAAACTGCACACTCCGTTAGATCGCCCAACACTACTCAGATTTCTCCTGACATTTTTAGCCCCTGATTGAAAAATGTAACCCGTAAGTCGGTGGAATGGAACAAGGAGCCAGCTGGGATTGTTCGCTCTCCGAAAAGAGACCATCCATCCAGAATCCTTCATCCACACATCCACGGATGGATCTCTGATGGTTAAGTCAGCTATCCTAACGATGTGACCATCGTCACTGGTCTGCGTCGGAAACCCCAGATGTTTGGAATCGGGAAGGTGGAATGTTTTCAAATACCTCAACTGTTCCAACCATACAGTAGATCAAAGAGGTAGCGTCTCGATGAGGCAGTAGTCGCGTACATAAACCTATATTGCATACTTGTATACGAGTTCAAGCGCAAGGTGGAGATTGGTTCAAAAACCAACAGATGGTCTAGGATCTATCAGCGTCTAGTGAACCAAAACCTGAGTACTTATGTAATCCACGTCATCATCAGTGCGTTGCTAGGGAGCGTAGCGATGGGTCGGTAGCCCGCGTCAACCTAGTTGTTGGTCAATTACTCTGGATGCTTGGACCAGTAGCTAACGACTATGTCTATACTGTCTGGATTGAAGAGCGTACGCTGTCTTAGTGTCTTTGGTCTGTTTGAGCTCGATGTAGCTCAATGGTTAAGGTGCAAACGTATTGATCGGAAGGTCATGGGCGCTGCCGTGTAGGCTTGGCTAGCCTGTAAGTATCTCACCTTTCTTGCTACCTTCGGGTGGCATTGCGGCTCGGCACCGAAAGGATGTCACTGCTGAACGGTTATTTTTTCCAATCAGTTTGGCACAGTTCAATGTTTTTTTTATCATATCCTCAGTTTCTAGCAAGTTGTTAACGATAGGACTTGGTTGGGCCACCCCCCGGCATAACGTGTTTCGACGGATTTCATTCGGTTCTCATAAACGGATACATTGCTTTTCCAACGTGCTTACGCTATATATTCTCCGAGCTGGAAGAACCAGGGATTGTGTCGTGCTATACTGCACAAATAATACAAAAATTGGAACAGTTGTGTAGGGTCCACCCCATGAGACTTTGACAGAGCGCTGACTGCGTCATACCATCACCCCGCCTCGCGACTTTCACGCCAATCAAGTGAAAGGTCTTCTCGGTTTTACGCTCTGATGTGAAATGGTAACTGTGTAGGCGCAATTAAATAAATCTTGAGAGATCTCAATAGGTTATCTCCTTCTCGGCTTTACAGTAAAAAGCTCTCTATCGTGGGCTCAGTTGTGGGGCGTTCCAGCCAGCAATGACCCGAAAGATTAGGCCACGACTATCCTGCCAGGTTATCCATGGATATCACCACTGTCAAGCCTAGTTGGCGCGTAGGTAGGAATTTTTCCGGGCTCTAAATTGACGACCTGGTCCGCATAGTCAAGAGTCTGATCAGCTCACAGGCGCTGGAAATTGTTTCCAGTAGCGGTATTTTCATTAACAAAGAGCTTGCCCAGCAAGCATGTCAAGTTGCCGTTAGTGCTTGAGGACTGAAAACTGTCCACGAGGTAAAAAGTGTCCCGTGGTACACGAATGTTCTAATCGGTTCGAGATTTTCGTGGATCCGTGTGAAGTCGGGTGAGTTGTTTTTATCGTGGATAAACCCATAACGCCAGGCAGTATGTCCAAGATTGTTCGCTCCATTATTTCGTCGCTGTTGAATTCCATCGTTCTTGCTGGTCGTTCCCCTCGGAGTTAGTTCGCCAAAACCAGCTGGGAGCGATCATTTGCACACAAGTCGAGTGAAGTGGATTGCAGTTACGGTGGTGTGGTTTCGGTCGGCTCGCATCCCCCAATGGTTTGTCCTTATCCATCTTTGTTGTATTTATCTGCTTAGCTTGTCAGAACGTCTTCCTTTTTGTAATGCACTACTCATAAGGTTGCTGAAAACTCCTCGACCTTATGAGCAGTAGTGCATTACAAAAATATACGTATCGCGAGATCTCGAATACCGTAGCGACTGAAACATGAGGCGGTCTGGTGCAGCACATTCAGTTGCCTGGAAACATCAAAACCGAGAGATTCAGCTGGGTTCCAGGTGAGTCTCTCGAAAAACCAAATTAGTTTGCAAAAAAAGTGCATATTCGCTAGTCTTCCTTTTTAATTTGAACTTCGATCGTAAACGGCACGACAACATCAGGCACAATGAGAAGATGGTGCGCGTTAGGGGAATGCCATAATCATTCCGTTTTAGACCTTGATGAAACATGTTTATTTGAATGGACGTTATGACCACGTGACAGCTCACACTGTCGTCCAGAGGTGTGTCACCGCCAAATCTCCATAAGTCCAACGTGGTTCTTACTCTAAGCTCTTGGATTGCGTTGCTGACCTTCAACTAGTTACAAGAGTTCGTGTCAAATTGGAGAACAGACCTGTTAATGAGAGCTGGCACCCTTATTTCGGCATTGTGATATGCCCTTTTAACTTTTAATTTTACGTTGTCACACTTTCTGGGATTGTCCATGAATCATCTAGACTTGTGCTTCTCCCAAGATATCAGCTAACTTATACCAAGGTTACGCTCCTGCATGCATCGACTGGCATTTGACTTACTGCCCAGATTCCCCGAGGTTTAATCACTATACGTCCAGTTTTTGTTCACTGTTCAGAAGCTGCCAAAAACTGACTTATTTGGGAACTATTCGTGGTGATCCTGATCGAAAAAAAACAAATCTCCTATGCCTGTTTGTGCCCATTTCTTGTCTACAGGTAACGGCACAGCACGCGGACTATCATCGCGAAGCTCTCCGATTCCTTGGTTGTGTCAACTTGTCAGATTTGAGCCGCGAGGAACAACACGCCTGGGCTTTTTCGGTCGGGTTGGCAGCCATCTTGGGAGAAGGCGTCTATAATTTTGGGGAGTTGGTAAGTTCAGTGAAATTGGATTAGTTTTCTGTCGATATCGCTAGTCTGGGAAGATCAAACGAGAATAGCCGATAAATCTATTGAATCGCAAATTGCTGTGAAAAAGGTCCTTTTCATTCTAACTTTTTGACTAGCATGTTAAAACTCAGTTGGCGCACTCATCATTTTGATGGACGATTTTCGTCACATCCCGTAGAAATCGGACGAGATGTACCAGTTATCAAGAGCTATCATTCCATACACAGATCGTTACGTACCAGTCCTTACGTCCTTATGTTCTGACATCGCTCGGTGTAAGCCCACGTTTAGCCTACTCGGCACAGAACTCCGAGACTCATGCTTTTTCGCGAGCTTTATCTAACTACCCTGTCGCGAAGAGACTGGACCTTACTGTGGTGTGGCAGTTTGTGTACCTCGGCGACCCATTGAGCTATACTGGGGGTTGTCCGCTCGACACTCATACCAGATTGGTCCATGGGTAGAGGTCTGATGAACACACACACCTGGCCCTCCAGGTTGCGGGTTGAAACATGTATGGCGACGTGTTCCGTAAAAATGTTAATGTACTTGCATTTCCAGCCCAACCAGCTGCCTTGCGGTTAGGCTTTTGGGCCAAAGGCTTTGGTTGAGGACCCTAATTGTCCTTCTGTCCAGGTGTGAGCGCCCTGGCAACTAACAATACTCTCATGCCACATCATTTTCTTATGTTTTTTAACCGAAAGCTCACGCACGACGTACTAAACAGCCTTCTGGACACACCGGATGCTTGGCTTATCGATCTCCTGAACGCCTTCAACCGTGGTGACATCAGTCAACTGGAGGCACTTCGTAGCCAGTGGAGCACCCAGGCTGATCTGGTTGCTGCCGAATCTCGTCTAAAGGATAAAGTTACTCTGCTCTGCTTGGCTGAGATGATTTTCCGGCGACCGCCGAACAAGCGAACTTTGACTTTTGCTGAGATCACGGCGGCCACCAGGGTGCCAGAAGACCAGGTAAGGGTTTTTACATCACCGCGATTAATCCTCTTATGTATGACAGCGAGGCGTCGGTGTTGAATCGGTTATGGTAATTGTTGTGAAGCCGTACATATTCCAAATTAGAAATGCATAACGATAGATCGTTAACTCACCCGAAGACAAGTTGAACATTCCCAAAGTACTAACTCGACGTTTCCTTTATATCATATGTTCCTGTCCTGCGAAAGTTACTTTTTTACCAGCTTTGATTCCTGTGGATGGTGTGCAATCCCATGCATCGACCTCGGCCTTCACAGTTGATGTCCAGGTCCCCGGCTGCCTCCCCTATGCAACAGCGTCATCTTGAACACGGCGATGAAAAGTGGCTGTTTTATCATCTCGATCAGGTTTGCGGTGGCATTTAAGGTAGACGAATTCAAGACGGTATCGGAAGTCAGAAACGGATTGCCGGTATGCACTTTATTAGGAAATAGATGGGAATATTTTAGGATGGTTGTGACAGAACAACGGGTTGAGAATCGTCAGTCTGGATGTTGCTGCTAGCATTCTCGGGGTAACGGGTTGAGAATCGTCAGAAGACCACCTCGGTCTGGATGTTGCTGCTAGCATTCTCGGGGTGCAGCTGCTCTTTGCTCGCTTACCCACTTCTCAGGTTTTGTTGATCCATATTCTGATTTTCAATCGTCGAAATGCATTAGCCTTGGTCCGTACACGTATGCCCAGCTCGCTATGGCTCATTGGTTAAGATGCGAACTTACTGACCGTGGTTTGAACTCGAACTCTGCATCTCTACGGGTCTTGGGCACCCTGTCGATCCTCATTCCTCCTTCAAGTGGCATCGCAGCTAGGCACCGAAATGGTGCTACAGCTGAAGAATATGAGTACGCCGGAACCAGCTTTGGCGATAGAACCGCTCACACCAATTACATTGTACCACTGTTTGTGATGATTTCGATTCGCTGTTCGATAATCTGAGCTAGAGTCACGTAATCTGTTTGATCTTATTGGACAGATACCAAGGCAAACAAGCTACAAAAATGGTGCGTGCATCGCAGTGCAGTTAAAACATCTGATAGATAACATGTTCCGTCATTCGGGTGGGAAATTTTTTTTGGCCGGATTCCATGGATGGTGTAGTTGTGCCACAAGTTGTGTGTGGCATGCAAACACAATTCACAGTAAGAAATCTGAATGCGTCGACGTGGACCGGTACTTGCTAACGCTTCGTTATTCCACATCCTTTTAGGTTGAATTGTTCGTAATGCGTGCTATGTCACTGGGTTTGATCAAAGGACGGATCGACGAGGTGAATCACTCAGTATCAATAAGCTGGCTGAAGCCACGAGTCCTTGATCGGGAGCAGGTAAGTTCGTAGAGTGATTCAACTAGTGCATCCATTCTTGTTTTTCGGTGTCGAATTCATTTTTCCTATAAGCGTCTGTCGACAAGTGAAATAAAACTCCTTTTAGGTGACTGGCTCCCAGATACTGATGTTCGTGGCGGAGCAATGATTAGTGGAGAACCGTTTCACTCGGAAATAAGCAACCGGTCACTTTTAGCCGCTTCAGAAACGCGACTAACATGCTCGTTTTTTTTAGAGGATTAAGCATGCTTGTTGGTTGTAGCCTGACATTCAGGATATACATAGACCGGTCGATTTCCGGCTTCCCCTTATACGTTACCGATGGCTTCGTCCATTAGCCGTTGCTGGACGCCCAGATTTATTAACTCGACTGCAGATGAAATCCTAGTTTCCGCCATCTTTAAGAGCACTTCTGACTGCGATCCGTAGTGTTTCCGGTTCGCATTCTGATGATCTAATCGATGACTTCTTTCTTCAGATTGGAAGCATGCGTGCTCGGTTGAACGAGTGGTGCAATTCCGTGTCCGACACCAAGAACCTTGTGGAAGTGAACGCAAAGGCCATTTTGGCATAACCTCATCGCCGACTAATTTCCGGTTATCGGCTTTCTGTGAATTACACATCTCATGTTTCATCTGATATATTTGTACCCCTGCTCTGTCTATCTGGGCTGGTATATTGAACCAAATTTCCACTGATTATCGGGGGCTAATGCTGGCAGCCAACGAATATTTTTGTGGTTTCAGTGCACGAAGCGATGGGGCTGGTTTTATTTGTGGTAAAGGAGAGCCCAACGGAGCGAGCACTCAAGCTCGCATAGAGAGTTCAAAATTTCGAGTCAGATTGGCACGCGCACACCAGACGCGGGAGCCACAGCATGAACGAATAGAGTTGTCATGGAATCTCGCAAGCCCTAGGAGCAGTGCACTGATGGGCCACCTTATTCTCTGGGTCTTTGAGTTGTTCGTAGTTCCCAGTGGCCATGTTCGGTATGTCGATGTGCACTGCGGTTTACGACATTCCTATTGAGCCTTCGAAAGTGACTGGCGTGGCACGTTTGTAGGCGTGTTGTCTGTACGGTAGGATACAGTCGCCAGTACTCAGCATTGTTGGAGACCTTGGAGAATCAATACCGAGTCTGTCGTGCATGTGTATGCTTATGTTGTTTTCAAGTTATGTGTGGAGGCTTCTGATTACAGAACGCCTAACCGATCAGTTTATTGACTCTCTGGTGCATATTTCTTGCTCGCTTCGGTATCATACGCATGTTTTGGATCATGCTGGTACGACCTACGCTGGAGAGAAAAGGTTCGATCAAAGTATGCGTTTGGGGATGAACGTGTGAACTTTAAGTTGGACAGTGGATTTTGATAGGATGGGACCTGTCGGCTTTTCGAATGGCGATTCCCGTACGGAACACGTCTAGGCCTGGAAACAGCCAGTCAATCCATGGCCTTTCAGTGTCAGACCTATGCTCAACCCCAACGTTTCGAATGTGTTTGAATTCATATCACACGCCACGCCCACTATTGTTAGTGGAGGCCAACCGGGTACTTTTATCTCTACGACCTTCGCACGATTTATGTAGTCTTATTGGTGTCGGATAGGAAAAGCCGCACTATTGAAACGCGACTTTGACCACAGGAAGACCGCTCTGTAGTTTATTCCCCCGAAGCCCTAACGTATTCAGTCAAACCTGTACCAGTCGCCGAATGCGGAAACAGGATACAGTTGAAAGCAAAAAAAAACAGCTTCACGGACTTTGTTTTGAAGTATTCAAAGAAGACAATGAACAAAATACAATGAAGGAGTGTTTTATGTACAGATCATCGTGAGGGGGGGGGGGTAGGAGAATGGTGGGTCACTGTACTGAACAGTCTATTTTTCCGCCTAGATGGTCTGCATACCGATCGGCCAATTTTTGTCGCAATCCAATTAGCGTCTGCTTGGCGTCCTGTACACAGTGGATGTCCTCATCTGCCAGACTATCGTCAAAGTCGATATCAATAGTCGGCAACAAACATGGATTGGTAGGTAGGTCTGATAAAAAAGCGAAATGGGTTTAGGTAATTCAGATAGGCAATAAACTTATTTCTATGGAGGCGATACTCTCAGATTAAGGGTCGTCTCATGCAAAGCTTGGGACCTTTAAAATAGTGTTGCTGTTTTGTTGCCATCATTCCGAGCCCATACTCGTAACATTAATTTCTCGGGTTGGGACAATACAGCATTGCCTAGCGTTCGTGCTTAATTCTACAGAGAAATCACATGAGAAACAAGCGCTGCAGTAACTTGGTACCGTCCGTTCGCGAGTTTCCGAGTAAGGCGCACTAGAGATACGCTTCATAGCTACAATAGTTGTGAGAGTCATTGTAGTGAATCCCATAAAATCTGAGTCGAACAAGTGACTTCAAGTCCCGCGGTACAGCTCGAACCAACTTACAGTTCGACGCTTCGACGGTGTACAAATGAGAACTGATCCGGATTGTCACAGGCTCTAGACATCAAAAATATAGGATAAAAAATCAGGTTTATAAAGAAGAAAATATTGGACAGACGAGGCGGTTTATGGATGGATCTTTAGCACTAAAATTCGCAGATCTCATGAAGCAGCATGGCTGAGGCCGGTTGTTGGAACTCCATGCATTTCCTAATCCAAAGCAGACTTCGATAAACAGGACACGACAAGGCGGAATATGACCTGGCATACGAAGAACGAGGCCGAACCAAGAACCAATCCGCAAGGGAGGATGTTAGACAGACCTTCCCTGGAGTCAGGGACTCAAAAGTCCGGGCAGTGGGATATTTACTCGAGGACATCAAGAGTCGGACACGTAATCGTGACTTGCAGTTAACCGAGGACTTGCACCACTTTTTTTCTAGAAGTCAAGGTTTCCTTGCTCAATTTGCTTCGAAAAATGCACGTCCTAGAATACAATGACTGCTCATCGGACAGGAATCGCTTATCAATGCCAGATGCGCGAACGTTCACATAGAACACGATACATACGAAGCAGATTAGGTAACTAGCTTGACTTTGAAGTTTATCATATCCCACTTCCGTATTTTTCATTCTAACCATGGAGGTGGAAAGTGGTATCGTGCTACAAGTAACAGAAAACACAAGACACCGAGAAGTGGTAAGCTCAGGCAGGCAAAACACTTATTAGTTGATGCGTTTTTAGATATACACCGCCTAGGGCTATCGAGGAAGGCAATGAGATGTTTGAAACCACACAGTTCAGTCAGTTTGGTCGTCCGGGTAACACGGGCTCGAGAGAGTACAATGGTTATCAAAATGCAAGCCCAACAAACGACACGTAATTTCACTCCAAGCCTGGAAGTTGTTCGTCAGGGTTCATTCAAGGTCAAACCACAATGAGCACAGGATTGCTGCAACTTTTCCAAGTTTCGATTCGTCAGTAGGCGTGTTTGGACCTCACTCATCCAACATACGCAAAAATGGGATCTCTACAAGCACACAAATCGCGGTCCGTTATTTTTGCAAAACATTGCTTTTGGACCCTTCCATAGTTTCGCTGGGGAGCCCCAAACATGCTTGAACGCACCTTGTTTTGCAAGACACAGGTCCTGACCACAAATCGACTGTCGAGAACACATGAGACCAGGTGATTATTGGACAACAACAACAATGAAAGTAGTGAGAGCGAATGTCAAACGATTTGACAGCTGACGAATCGGGCAATGAGTATTTCATTAGTTCGTGTTTAAAGTCCGGAACTTCCATTCCCTCACCCGCTAGTTGGGAATTTCCCAGGTGAGGACCGCTGCTGTAGGCTGTCTTAATACTTTGAACTTGTGCTAAGGACCGGCAGGCTTGCTACAAACTTTTCTCCAACACCCTATTTCTGTCCGGACTCCACTCCACTCAGGCATCTTGAACCGGTTCTGCCTCATTTCTACTGCTTTTATAACTGAACGACTGAATTGATGTCGCACTCCAATAGTGCTGTTGGAAAAACACTACGGCGTACGCAGCTTCTTCCACTAAGCTAGCTTTAAAAATACATCATGGGTAGAAATGCTCAAACCCTTCCTTTGTGATCAAACCATCTCCGAAGGTACACTTCACAAATTCCCGACTGACTTACACACCCGTGCGAAATTTCGAAAAGTTTACCAGAATCAACGGGACAAATTAACTCAACTTACCCTTGTTGCACTCTGAGGGTTTGCGATCCGTGGGAGATAACTTTGTCTCCTCGTTTTCGCGTAGTGAAGGATAACAGTCGGCTGGTGTTTGCGGTTGAAAAAGCAATGAGGACAAATCCAATTTCTCACCGGAAGCCAGTCGACACAGGTGGTCCGACAGACAGACCGCTTCACGGACACTCGCCTTGAGGTCATGCAGAAAGCGTATGCGCCTGCGTCCACCGGTGGAGCGCCATGCTTCGACCGCCTTGGAGAGGCTGGAGTGCGTGCAAAGCAAACGATCGAGGAGATCTTGCTTTTCTGCGTTCAGCTAGGAGGAGGAAGGGTAGTCGGGAAATGTAGTATCCGTCCACAGATTAAGAAAAACACAAACCAAAGAAGTAAGAGACAGTTTCAATGAAACCACGTTTTATTCTTGTTTGCAAGCAGCACTCGTTTGGGGACTGAACACCCCAGACTTTTATGAAGGGCGGTCTCGTTTCCTGTCGTTCGAAATGCAGTTAACCAAACGAAAATCAGACACGTTGAGTGTTGGCCCATCGATGTTACTTCAACTTTGTGATTACGAAATCCATCCGGAAAATTCATGAGAAACAAAAACAAGTGACTCATTATGAGAGGTTGCACGCCTGACGAATGGCTCGGCCCTCTGCGCCAGCCCTTACTGTGGCTCTAAATAGTGGTTTACGTGCGACGATGGTCACATTCAGGTATACCGCTTGAATAGATCCTTGCCGGACCAGATGGAAAACAAGTGGGTGCGGTTGGGGAAAGTTGTCTATCAGACAGTTAATACGGTAATTTCGTGTGATATATGTTCACGTTACTCGGCGCATGGATACCATGCCGCCTGAAGACAGCTAATGATGGGCTGAGTTACCTCAAACCTAGAAGCGACTGATAGGTTAGGATCTCTCTCGGTCAGTAACTAGCGTCACTCATGTGGCATTTTGTGTGACGTAGTTGAGTGCGCAAAAACTAGAATTACACGTTGGAAGAGTAAGTCGAACAGTGATAATGCCACGCCACGTGTCCTGGGAAACAGACCTTCTCAACGGCAACACCTACTTTCGCAGAGGCTCCCGTGGAGCAGGACGCAAGGGAGGATCGTCCTTTCGTTACCCCACTTCCTGATAATGGTAGTTAAAAGCTGGTTGCTCGATCCGTTGAACTGGTTGTGAGAAGGATTACTCGTTTGATAACCAAGAGCACCACTTTAAAATAGTTAAACTCATGAATTAGAGACCATTTTTCGTGAACAACATATCAAGAAAGCTGCATCATGCAAAGACAGCCGTGACGTTGTTCACTGGGCTGTTCGTTGTAGTAATCAACAGCTCCACTGTTGGTAATCGTCGTGGATGACTGGGGATACTTTTAGCCACATGGGTTATTTCACTAGTTTTGTGTTCATAGGTCGACAAACTACCATGACATAACTGGCCATTTCCAGCCAAAAGTGTATGCCACTGTTGACTCCGACACGTGGCATCATCTCTATTTTCAGACTATTCGGGCCACATGGTCGATTATCCTTGGATATCAGCTCACTTTAGACCGCTAAAAAACGCCCGTGCTCGAAGAAAAGTGACTTTCCATACAGTCTTTCTGTGATTAGTACCGTGCGGTGGTTGCTGTGATCTCCTTTCGATCTGCAATAATGCCAGCCTGACCCATATCTAGGAAGTGTATGATCAACAGGCACATGACTTTCTGGTCGATACGGCTGTTCGAAACCGTACTTTCACATTCGTATTATCGTACTCCGAGAACGCTTTGGTTCTTGAGAGTTTTCACGCGATGGAAATGGGCGGTTTACGACCCGCAAGGATCACTGTTTTTCTACCACGTTGAAGCGTTCTGGGGTTACACTCAGTATTTCGTTCTCTGCGACTCCTATGGCCTACTCGTCTGTCTTATTGAATTAATACTGTTTACGAACCCGAACTTTTACGTCGGGTGATAGTTAACCGAAACAAGAGTTTCTGTGACGGGATGCCTTATCTGCTTAAATACGTTTTGTTGATTCTCGAAATGCACTAATTTGCACATCAAGTTGATCATCACGAGAGACCCAACTGAATCTCTCATTTAAGATATTCTTCAATTCAGTGTGCTCCATAAAGTCCGCTTGCTGTGACACGCGAGATATCGGAGCTCATACATGAAACTAACTACTCATAAGATTGTCGCAGAGTGTTCAGAAACCTTACAAAAAGTCACCATCCCAACACATACTCTTGTGCGTTAGGGAACGAGTCTGACGAAAGATATCCGCTAGTTTTGATGGAAATCGGTTGGGATACTTGACCATCCCGCTAAATCCGAAAGTTAGCCCGGTATACTTTCAGATGGGCGTTTGCGGATTGCACAACTTTTTCCTATGAATGTCAGACGAACACCTTGTTCAACGCAACGATTTGGAGAGCGACTTAATTTGTATCCCAATAATCCGTCATATTATTACCTGATCAACAATGCAGATCGCGTCTGGAAATTCTCTACCGTGCCAAATAACAGTTCCTGGAATAATTCACTGGACACCGTCAAATATAATGGAAGGCGGTCCATCAGAACCGACCAGAACGGTGTGCTACATGTAGTGAGATAACTTGAGTGATGGTCGTCGAACCACAGCTGCCAGAAAGCAGACGACAGATGTGATTTGCTGAATAGGAAGTGTTCATGAAGCAAACGGCTTAGGATCGATGCAAAGTTGTGGTTCGCCAGGTTTCTTCAGAACTGCTGCTTGAACACCGAGCTCCTTTGGGCGAATCAGACTCAGTCGCTCTTTTCTGTTGGGACGGGTTTAAGATTGAGGAACCGCAGGTGAATCGCAGTCAGCTTCACTATGACAGATGTTGACACATTGGTTAAATGATAATTTACAGCAATTCCACCGTGATATTCTGATCATAAGAATCGGGGCTTTCCTCAAATGAACGCAAAAGTTGTAGAACTCTACAAGACCCTTCAAAGCCAGCACACTTTGGTCGGTATTCTACTCTGGCAACTGATTTCGGGGGAAAGACTGCGATCACGGTTGCCGGATCTCTAAGGTTTGCCCTTCCCAGCGTCATTCCCAACTGAATTCCGAAACAATGCAAGCTAACGTTATTTGTAACTCGTGCGCCTACCTGATGAGCCTCAAGAATGGCGAAACCGGTCGTGGATTGTCGAAGTTTTCAGCAGACTTGTGAGTAGTTTCCTTCATGAAAATATACTGCGATATTTCGAATATCGTGCCAACTGAAACATGAGGCGGCCTATGTGCAGCACATTCAGTTGAAGAATATCATAAACGAGAGATTCAGTTGAGTCTCTCGTGGAAACCAAATTGATTTGCAAATGAGTGTATTTCTCGAAAACAGTCCCATTTGGGTTCGAGTAGAACATAAAGTTGATGGGAACTCGGGGACTACGCCTACCTGACAAGCCGTTTAAATGAGCATCAAATGACTATTCAGAAGGCGTTGCCAGCACCAGGAGATGTCGGCAGGGTTTCTGATGCAGGACATGAATAAGACTGCCTTGTCCACTTGGCTTTGTACAATCCAATGCGTTTTTCACAAGTTTTTGACACTCTCGTTCTGGTTTTTACTCTTCTCCACGTATGATATTCAGCCGTCATTCTGCTTCATGTTTAGGACTGTGACAGCAGGGACTATAGCACTTAGGGAGACAGCATACCCCATAAGTTAATACTACCAAAACATGGACTAAAGTTCTGTCTGAAGTTTCTCTATGAATCCGCCCAAATGAATGTATAAGTACGAAGGCAATCAAAATGAGAAACAGTTGGTTAAAATTGAGGGAGAGATTAAAAAAACTAGTGGGTCTAACTAGATAAACCCTGTTGTAGCCGTTGAGGAAACAACCCAAATGAGCTGGACAAAAAGGTGTCATGAAACCCAGTAATGCCCTCCCACAATACGAATCATTGGACTGGAGAAGTGAGTGAAGAGAACAAATCCAAACGCAAGTGAAAATATAGGAACACATAGCGCGAATTTCTGCGAAAGAAAGCGAACAGAGGAACGCAAGACGAGGGATGCTGACAGATCGCACAACGGTGTACTGATTTCGACAAGTGTCAACATACTTTGCTAATGTACTCCTTCAGCTGGTTTAAAGCGAACAAACGCAAGACGAGGGATGCTGACAGATCGCACAACGGTGTACTGATTTCGACAAGTGTCAACATACTTTGCTAATGTACTCCTTCAGCTGGTTTATCTCAGATTTGCGACTGGATAAGGTTGCTTTCAATCCGGCAACTGTAGCCTCCTCACGGGCCAGTTGCTCCTCAAACTGTCGTTTCTCCATCTTCTGTCGCGCTGCAAGCCCTTCGGCCCGGTGTGTTTCAGCCTCGAGAAGCTAAAACACAAACAAAGGGATGTTGCAGCGTAGAGATCATGAGGTGAGATGTGACATTTCCAGGAAAGGCATATCTCAATTGACCCCCTAAAAGCTGAATAAAAATAGACCTTTCGTAAATTATGAAAGCTTACACATGAAGCGCTTTAGTCAGTGTTGTCACGGCTGGATTATTGCCGATTACAATGATAGACAACTCAAGTACCGACGGGATACGGATCCAATACGATTTCGCTTTGAATTGAAAGTGTCTTGAACTCCGAAAACATTAACTATAGTATAATTATAGCAGACAGTTAAGCATGTTCGCCCATAAATTTTCCAGCACACCCCCATACAGCGACCACCCCAGAGAAGGAATAATGATCGCGCTGAGTTTTGCATAACCTTTAACCTTGCTTCCTGGAGAGGACAAATGGGGTGACCATGGTTCGGGTTGATTGGAGGAACGGGTGAAAGAACAGCCATGGGTCGTTTGGTTTCAAATGTTACTAAAATCAAGAGATCCATGCAAAGTGTTGTGAATCTTCCAAAGAGTAATCCTACAAGATAGTCCGCCACTGGGAGGAAAGACGGTATTGGTCTCTTCAAAGGTGTGCTGTTTCCAAGAGGTATTTACCATCCATTATGGTTGATCGCTGACGGTGCAGTACAATCCTCGGGGGAGTGGCTTCTATTCACACAGGGTCTCTCTTGGGATATTTAGCACAGATGCTTGCAGCTGTGGAAAAAGTATAGTGTTCTGGCAGAGCACAATCATGTCCACAGAACCTCACCTTCTTGGCTTGTTCAAATGCAGTCCTATAGCGGTCCACTTCGAATCTCAAATCCTCCACGAATTCTGGTGTGACACGAGTGGACTTGAGCCCCAGATCGACTGACGGGTTACCACCATTGGAAGGTGTCTTGATTTGAAGTCGCTAGCACACATGAAAGGGCAGATAAGATAACAAAAGAGAGGAGCATACGTGAACACGGAGTGAAAACTATCCACCAGGTTTTACGGAACTCGTTTTTTTCAAAATTCACACAAAGTAAGTTACTTTATGTGGTTAAAGTCGCTATATTCAATCTGGGAAACTATAGTAACACAGAAACAAGTGTTTGGATATTTCTACTCCAGCTCTTTGGCGTGCACCGTCAGTAGTTCATGAGTAGTGTGTATCATTCCACAAAGTGACATGTACATGTAGCGCACGCTTCCCCAAAGTGCGATTACACCGATGGGTTCTACTGCGCGGTTAACTTCACCCATTAATGGAATTTGGACGAATCGACAGAGTGAAACTCTGTGCATTTGAAAACATTCATATGGAATGTAAGTCGAGGGCTATGTGGTGACGAGTTGATTAGTATGAACAACATGGAAGATAAAGATCTAGAAAAGGCAAAGCCTAAGGTGAGTCGGAGCACTCAAAGCCCACCGAATCAGCTCGGCAGCGTGATCTCAACACAGAACACATTGCCAGGAGCATCAAACAATGCGGCTGCCGCGCTCTGTCAAGCAGGCAACGTTCTGCTTTGTACGTAACCCAGTTACCATCTGCGCAGAAATGTCTGCAGCATATCTGCGCCCGGCTGAGGACATTTCCGCGGCGTCCGCGGATAACTCCACAATATCTGCACACTGCTGCATCCGGGTACAGATCCTGTGCGGAAATGAAACAAGTTTCCGGACCCAGTCCACAATGGGGTGCGAAAATAGTGCAGACGTTTCCGTACCCAAGTGCGGAAAATCCGTACTCAGGACTCCGCGGATACACAATATCTGCACACTGCTGCATCCGGGTACAGATCCTGTGCGGAAATGAAACAAGTTTCCGGACCCAGTCCACAATGGATGGGGAAAATAGTGCAGACGTTTCCGTACCCAAGTGCGGAAAATCCGTACTCAGGACCGGAGTTGCTGCATCCAGTCCGCACCTAGCTAAAGTCGTCCGATGCGCGAATATAGCCCATCATATGCATTTATTTCTTTCTCTAGTACGATTCGCTAACTTCCTAAACACCACGCTCCCGTGCCGTGATAACCCATCTACCCCCACACAATTCCTCAGCGTATTGCCTTCCAGAACATAAATAAGCGCTTTCAAGTACAAATATCTTTATGAATGAGTTTCAAAAAAATACCAGGGGAGAATCATTTGTCACTCTTGGTGGATCTCTGCAGGCGTTCCCGAACTTTCCGCCGTTCGTTTTCCAGCCAGCGATGAACGATTTTCTTTATTTGCCGTAGATTTGTGTTCGGAAATTTCTCAGTTGTCCCGTGTGTAATGAAAAAGATAGGTATAAAATTTCATCCAGACACTTGTTCAATTAACTAAATATAAAGTAACCATTAAATACTTACAAATAAGTCCTTGGGCCAGCCTGGTTGACCCGAAGGGTTC